GTGTGTGCCCAAGATCCTGAGAGGAGAATGGAGGAGAAGGGATTGCAGCATGGCCATCCCCCTTGGGGGGTGATTTCTCGCTTTCTGTCTCTCTGTCTCTCTCTGTCTGTCTGGTGAGTGCACGTGCCCTATAGCAAAAAAACTCTCTCAAAAAAAAATTATTGTTTTCCTACAAGTAATATATTTTTTCCCTTTAGTGTATTTTAATATTTTTCTTTGTCTGTAATTCTTAGTGGTTTGAGTATGTCTCCAAGTAGATTTCTGGGGGTTGATAATATCCTCTTTGGAATTTACTGAGCTTCTTGAATCCACACGCTTATTCTCTTGCCAAGTTTTGGGTGTTTTTAGCTGTTATTTTGTCCACTAACCACACTATTTTTTCTGAGACTCTGATGACATAAATGTTAGATTTTGGGTGGTGTTCTTTAGGTTTCTGAATTTCTTCTTTCAATATTTTTCTATGATTTTTTTGAGAGGTTTTTGCTATAGGGTGCGTGCGCTCGCCAGACAGACAGAGACATAGAGACAGAAAGCGAGAAATCACCCCCCATGGGGGATAGTCACACCGCAATCCCTTCTCCTCCATTCTCCTCTTGGGATCTTGGGCATGCACGCACATGCGCCTGGTGTGAGTTTTAAGCCACCGGGTACAGGACATGAACCGCGGTTGACTACGAGGGAGTCCAGCGACGCAGCCATTATGCTAACTGCTGGTTCCCTCTCTCTATGATTTAAACTGAATTATTTCTATTGAATTGTTTCCAAGTTCACTTTTTTCTTTACTAACGTCTTTCTCCTCTTGAGCCTATCCAGCAAGTTTTTATTTTTAAGTTGTTTTATTTTCCAGCTCTCATCTTTCAAATAATTCTTCTTCATATCATCTCTTTCTTGCAGTTACTTATCTCTTAACATACAATATAATGTGCAGGTTTACTCCTGCCAGATCATTTCAGGAGGAGGGGCCCACTGTGAATTTGTTGTGGAAATTCTTCCTTTTTTGGGGGAAGAGATTTTTACTACAGGGCATGTGCACTTGCCAGAGAGACAGAAAACAAGAAATAACCCCTCTTTCCCCAGGGGGCATGAGATGGCCATGCCTCAATTCCTCTCCTCCATTCTTCTTTTGGGACTTTGGGCATGCACACACACAGGTCCAACATGAGTTTCAAGCCACCGGGTCCAGGACTTGAACTGCGGTTGGCCACATGGGAGTCCAGTGCCTCAACTACTATGCCACCTGCCAGCCCCAATTGTGGAAATTCTTAAATATTAGGTTACAGTGTCTGTGATATTTGATACACAGTAGGGAGACATTTCCTATTGTAACTGGGGTGTTAGCTAGAAGGGGTGGAGGCTCCATGGAGAAGAAGGGCCTAGAGTTAGAACTCTAACTGTAACTGAAGAGTATGTGATGGAGGCTTGGATGGGTGAGACTGATGACAATAGAAACTAACAAGATGAGACAGCCAGGAGACATTATGAGGGGAGAATTGTATTTTTGTTTCTGGCTAGAGGAGGAAAAAGAAGAGTCAAAGTTGATGCCAAGACTTTAAACCAGGAAGAGAATATTGGCTATAATTTTTAGAAAAATAGAGATCTGAAGAGAAAACTATTTTAGGAGGAAAGATGGTTCCAACAAGTTTAATACAGTTTGCTTGAGGTGATGACTGATCATGTGGCTGGGGAGGTGAGAGAAGAGAGTGTAGAAATGCGAATTTAAGACGTACTCACATAAAGGTGATAGAAAGCTAAAGCTGGAGAAGAGAGAACATGGCATAAAAATCTGGGCCATGAAGTGTATGGCATGCACGACCACGTCAGAGGACATTAGGAAGAAGTAGAGGCCAAGGAGAGACCTGAGCGCTAAGAAAGTAAGGCTTATGCTGTCAGGAAACAAAGGAAAGGGTGAGTGACAGCCTCAAGTGTTACTGCAAAGTTAGGAACAGTGATGACAATGACACTGCTTATGGGAGGTCCCCAAAGAGCTCTTGCCAGAGCAAATGTGGCATTTCAGCTGCGCAGTGGGACTCAGCTATTAGAAATGTCGAGTTTGGGGGACCAGCAGTTGGCGTAATGGCTTTGTCGCTGGACTCCCATGTAGGTGACCGCAGTTCAAGTCCTGGACCTGGTTGGTTAAACTCATGCTGGGCTCATGTGCGTGCATGCCCAAGATCCTGGGAGGAGAATGCAGGAGAAGGGATTGTGGCATGGCCATCACTCCTGGGGGATGATTTCTTGCTTTCTGTCCCTCTGTTTCTCTCTATAGCAAAAACCTCTCCAAAAAATAATAAATAAATAAATAAAAAGATGAAATGTTGTGTTTGCTGGTTGGGGAGGACGACAGGTTAAGCACACACTCCAGTGTTGGTAGGGTCTGGCTGGGAGAATGTGATCATTTGCTTTCTACTCAGAAGAGATGTTCATCCATAGGATGGCGTCTGAATGACTCAGAATCCCCTGCTGGCTTGTAGGTGGGAAGGAAGAGGCAGATCACACATGAAATAAGGCAACGGGAAATAAGCTACCAGCCCCAAGTATGCCCACTTCATTTTTCCAGCCTATTTTGTCATGAAATTGAGCTTAGTTCCTGTGAAGAGAAAAGGAGGCCTGGCTAGTTCTGTGCGCTCCATATACACATGTGGTGAGAACCCTGCCCCACAGCAGGGCTGTGTCTGACCGGAGGGACACGAGTGAGGACCTCTAAAGCCAATGATTTCTTACCCTTCAGCATTATAGACCATGGCTCTTGGGAACAGTGTCGTTGAACATGAAAATATTTGTGACCTAGCTGCATTGCTCTCCATCTCTTTGAAGTGGATGAAAACTATACCTTTAAGAGAAAACAATGCATGTGGGCAACAAGATGCTCTTTTTTAATGCTGCTATTTAAAGATCTGCCAGGCTCTGGAGCTACACCAGATGAGTGACTTTGAGAGGAGACATGTGCTGAGCAGAGCAGTACGGTGGGTGGAGACCATGGTAGAGAAGGCTGGCAGTGAAAGGAAGGAGAAAGATAAGTATAGCCTAACGACATTAAAAAAATCATGTCTGAAACTTTTGTTGTATATCTGGGGAAAATTGTTCCCGCTGGGATAAGGTTCAATCCAGAAGTTTGTTGCTGGATATGTAGGATGACCAATCATTTTGGTTTCCTTGGAAGTTTCTTGTTTTACACTGAAAATCTTGTGTCCCGAGAAACCCCCTCAGTACCAGACAAACTTGAACCACTGATTTATCACCTTAAGATGGTGCTGTTTGGTGTTGCCCCAAATCGATCCAATTAGAACATGAGGGCCCTCAAAAGGTCATGGAAAATGCCTATTACATAAAGCCATGCATATATTTTCAATTTTTTGCACCAAAATTAATTTGTAATTTAATTACATTTTTCTGTTAACTTTTTGACATGAAGTCCCCACGTGTCACTGTGTCTCTTGTTTTTTTTGTTTTGTTTTTATTTTGAGAAGTTTTTTGCTATAGGGTGCGTGCACTCACCAGAAAGACAGAGAGACAGAGAGACAGCAAGTGAGAAATCACCCCCCCAGGGGGTATGGCCACACCACAATCCCTTCTCTTCCATTCTCCTCTCAGGATCTTGGGCACACATGCACATGCACCCGGCATGAGTTTAAGCCACCAGATCCGGGACTCGAACAGCAGTCGCCTATGTGGGAGTCCAGTGACAAAGCCATTATGCCAACTGCTGGTCCCACTGTCTGTCTCTTGTTATAAGATGTTCTATTTTGGGCCAGCAGGTGGTGTAGTAGTTAAGGTGTTGTACTTCCACATAGTTGACCATGGTTTGAGTCCTGGACCCAGCGACTTGAGACACTAGCTGTGTTTGCATGTATGTGTGCCCAAAGTACTTAGAGAAGAATGGAGGAGAAGGGACTGCAGCATGGCCCTTCCCCCCTGGCGGGGAGGTGAGATTTCTCACTTTCTGTCTCTGTCTCTCCACAGAGCATGCTTGCCTTATAGCAAAAATCTCTCTTTAAAAAAAAAAAAAGAAAGACAGATGTCCTGTTCACCTAATCTCTGCTCCAATGCATGGTGACTGGATCCTTAGCCTGTCTGTGGCTTCTCTCACTTCCCTAGATTGAAAGAGGTCTTTGCATTTTGACTGTCACAGGGAAA